ATCAGTGCAACTATAGAAAACCAAAACTTTTCACTTCATTTATAATGATTTGCTTTTGAAATAGTTTGCACAGTTCCAAATATAAATCATATTTGGTTTTATAGAATTTACTGTGCAATGCATCAAAGCGACTCATAAATTCAAACAATAATTTACGAGCGAAGAAATAAATGATCGATTTTTACACTAACTGTGCACTTTTATCATTTTCCATTTCAGTGACAACTTGACGTACCAAGGTTAATTTTATCAACTTCTCTCCATGACCAGTTGTTGCAGCTGCTCCTTTATCATTTGCATATCCACCATAACCAACTTATGAAGCATCACTAACACGACCTTTAAGTTCTTAGCGATACCTCGTATGATAATGTATGTCATAACTGTGATGATGTAGAATTTGTGTTTGATTTCTTGTTAATTAATCACTGAACATAATCATGGGGTTGGATAATTGAAGATGGATAATTGAACGAGGAAAGGGCGTTCATATCATTGAACTATAAAATACATGAAACGTCTACCTGTAATAAAAAGCATAGCAATTTTTGAAGCCAAATCCTAAACCCAGACACATGAGATTACACCCACACGCGAATGCGTATTTCAATCAATTTTCGCATCGCGTGAGAATCTCGAAACACTAAACACATGTCTGGGTGTAGTGTCGCGTGTCTGGGTGTAAGATTTGGCTTCAATAATTTGCTTCAGATAGCGTTTCATGTATTTTAGTTCAATGTTTCATATTCATAACTTCATGTTATAATCAGAAGAAAATATTGGATTTCAAAGCTACCTAACGCTGCATATCTATTTATGAAAATGTCGATCTTCCTACTCCCATGAATATATGTAAACATGCGACATGTCTTAGTTTTTCATTACCTGTTGATGTGGCACACGCCAAGTTGCCTTTTTTATCAATTGCAACAGCACATGTAGTATCGCCATTTTCAGGGAGCCAATCTGGAATAAGTTCTATCACATAGAAATATGCTACACGGTCGTTAAAGCGCTCATTAGGGATGTAATTTTTCATTTGTTCTGGTGTTATTAATTGATTCCGTTCACAACAAGGAAAATCGACACTTATTGCAAAATCTAAAGCACCATCAACATTAAGGCACAGTGTTGTGTCCTGGGGCGGATCTAGGATTTTTCAAACATCAGTCATAAAACGTCGGAGGCGCTCCGCACGGGGGGGGGGTCTGAGGCATTCTCCCCTGAGAAATTTTGAATTTCAGAGCCTTGAAAATGCCATTTTGAGCATTTTAGAGCAATACAAAATGTATTTTGTGGGCATCGTTTTTGCGTAAAAACAACACATTTTGCTTACGTTTTTTTCAAAAAAAAAATGAAGTGAACAATACTTGAATGTTTAGCCAAATATTTAGGCTCATTATCATGCCAAATATATGGCTCATTAGCATGTCTAGGAACGTAAAATTTATTTTACATTAATGCTATTCAAAAACAGATATAGTCTTTAAAAATTTCTACCAAGTTGTCAGGCATAGACCCCCCTAGAGACCCCATTCAAAACTCTATGTAATGAGTTAAGTTAGAAATTTGGTTCTACAAGTGACAGTTCATAGATATAGAAAAGCTCAGACTTCAAACCATGCAAGTTTATTGTAACCCTTTACCCATCTCCACATCAGTGCCAGCAAATTCACCTTTGGAGAAAAAACTCAAATTTTTTTTCTGCCAAAGATTAAGCAAAAATTATCAGAGTGAAAATTTGCAGTTAAGGACAGCTTAATGCCATAAATATTTATTAGGCATTTCACTTGACTATTATCTTCTGCAAGGTGTGCTATATAGCAATCAGTAGTAGTATTGTATTATCAAATACAAACAGAATGTAACCAGCATGTCTTTAATTATATAATTACACGAATGTTAAATTGGGTCATGTGTCATGCTTACTGGTTATGATAAATATCTTTTCATATGATCAAGGCTCGTTTAAATGTAAATCTGAAATAATTTAGTTTAGAAATTATAATGATCATCAGAAAAATTACCTAGTGATCATGAAAAATACTTTGCTGTTTTGCCAAATTTCAAGGTTTATCTGCATACATAGAAAGACATTTTTACCTTATAGAAAATGCTTTTCATACATCAATAGCCCTTTGGAATTTATGGCAAACAATCTGGTATGAGCTGTAGATTAACACACATTTACATCTCTACATGAGGTGTTCAGTTAGAAAAGGGGACAATATGTGACATGGGACAACATTTCATGTATGTGAAATACTAAGGTTTAATACCATTCCAGTCAAATTGTCAAAATAAAAAGCTTCATGGATCAGAAGACTCAAAATCATAGGTTACAGTAAACAGCTGCTCATGTAATCAATGTTAGTTTTCTCAAATCTTAAACAATATGTAGTATAACTGTCTAATGATTGAATGATCAATGATCATAAACTGAAAAGCCCAAACATTTGTTTATAATAAAGTAAATAATAGTATGGCGCTTTATGGCTACAGATTTTTTGTCCAATGAAATATATTTGCAGGAATGTAGGAGTTCGCTGCCATAAAACGGCCACGATTCCCCAAGCACTAAAGAAATCATAGCTAAAAGTCCTTCGGCAACAACAATTTTAGAAGCATCAATCTGCTTACCATACGCCATATTAACATAAATCGCATCACACACTCGCATAAATTGACTTTGATTAATTACATTCTTGCATACACTTCAGTTGTCCTTTACTTACGATTTTGGATGTAAATTTCTGCTGATAAAACTCAAAACAATGTTGGCTTGCTTTTTAACATCAATGACTGAAATGTCGCTCGCGAGATCGTCTTTGCCAAGCATTTACAATTCATCCATAAATTTTTCGCCCTCTTGAAAAAATTCACAGTTTGGACAGCAGCATTCATGTCAATATATGAATTTGTAAAAGATTTCCATATATTCCTTCTGATTGTAATTTAGTTTCTATCATGCTTATAAAAATTACTATGAAACGATCAAACATTCAATTCAGACAGTGAGCTTGACTATGTTAATTCAGTTGGCTATCAGTCGAAATCCGTCAAACCATTCACAATAAAACAAAAATTCAAATGAACCAATTGGAAGATAGCAATTGGACTCCCTTATACGTCCGGCCACCCCTATTATCAGTCGAGACCATTCCAGACTGTCCACTGATCTGGCCGTTGACCAATAAAATAAGCGTTTTTAGCGTTCATAGACTCCTTTATCCGTCGAACCAGTCAAGCCACCCCGCTTATCAGTCGGTTATTCCAGTTCACCAACTGATCTGGTTACGAACGAGATATTCATTGCATTAGTCATTAGTTTTCAATAATAAATAAAGCTGGATTTTTATCACGAAGTAAATGCGATAATAAAGTAAGAATAATTAATGATTTTTAATTAATATGAATAGGTAATTTTTGAATTTCAAACATCAGTCGCGCGAGGGATTTGACATACTCTAGATCCGCCCCTGGTTGTGTCTCTTCCATAAATTTTCGTGAAAGACACACTGGATTTTTGAAATGCCGACCCGAGATTACTGCACCTACAACACATAGAAAAAAATGTGAATGGACTTTCTCATTTGATGACTCGTCTGAAATAGAGTACCCAGCTTTATTGTGTTTATTGTAGAATGATATAAAAGGTTTTGTTTATCTGCAATACATTGTCTAGTAATAAATTCTTTATTAAAGTATCAATAATTGTAACCTGTATTTAAGGTGTGTCCATCCATAATCATCTCATCACATTCAACTTCCCTGCTAGCATTCACATGGAATTCACGAGCAGCCACGAATAAGTCACAATCTTCCAAAACATTAAATGACTTTTCAACAGCTTCAACAGCAGTGCCACCATTCTGAGTTAACAGAAATTTTGCGAGAAAGCAATACAATTTATTGCTATTGTAAACGGGGAGAAGAGTTGAAAGAGTTTGTTTTGATCCTTCACACTATATTTCATACATATACCTTCAATATACAATAACCTGCTTTGGCTGCCTCTTTCATTATGTTGATATACTCATGGTTACTTAAAAACACGTCGATTATACTGGCTGTAGGCTTGTCCAGTGATAATAATACAAACTTTGTAATTGCCATCTTCAAATGTAAACCATTGTTATGTACACAGAAGAAAAGTTTAATGTTTTTATCTATATGAAAAAATTCTGCTTTTTCTAGTTATGTACCTGAGGAAGGGCTTACTTCAATGTGCTTTGCCATTCAAGAAATTCAAATTCATGATCAGATGAGTGTATTTACAGGCTGAATATAGTGTTAAAACGAGAAACTTGAACGTTGAGATCAGGGTTAGTTTTGTTAATGTGAAGTTCTTCTTTGATTTTAAGTGCGAATGTGGTATCGGCAGTGTCGATGATCTGTATAAATTGTATCATATTATTCTCATATATATTTATCACATACATAGTACTCTTTCTTATATACCAAAGATTGCTTCATGAGATGTTGAAACATGTCTTTGTTAAAGAAACTTGTCGTATTTATTAAATGCGCTTTATCAATAGTGCTTTTACGCAGTTACAAAAGCAAAATCTTTGAATTACATCTTCATAAATTCAAGAACTTTCAAGGACATGCAAGTTTTTTACACATACTGTTATATGTACAGAGTAAACAACTTCAAAGGATTCAGCCATGTTCATAAATAACTTGCATTACATACAATAGTTTCTATCTGATTTCTCATCGTGGATCGTTTGGGTGTCATGGAGAAGCGCCTGGGTTTAAAATTTTGCTTCATTTCATAGACATAATAGTTATCATGCTGATACCTTTATTGAATTCAAGTTATGCATTCTTTGAAACTTTATAAGATTTAGCATTAGTCTTTTGGAATTTGACTAATCTCAATGTTATTATGTACTCTGCATGAGGTTCTTATTTATGTATTTTTATTTCTATAACAATTGTTTTTAGTCAGTGATGTATACTTAGTTATATAACTAGAATGTTCTATATAGATGTCATTAATGTGTTATTATACTGTTTGTTGAAGGAGATCCTGGCTCACTCATCATTTTCGTTTGCTAATTAAATGTGTTTATGTAACAAAACTTACATGGATGAAAGATTGATGTAACACTAAGGTATGAATAATGTCACCATTTTTTACTAATATGTTTGTGGTCGCGTTGTTTATATTAAATCTGTCATCCGTTTGTTGAGTATGTGACATGTAAAGTACTAAAGCAAGCATAAATTTGTTCACACGTCGTCTTACTTCTAAAACGAGGGTAATTTTAGAGAAATTAAGCGATATTTTAGAACTATATTACCGACATAACAAATTAGCTAAAGCAACATCTCGTTAAAGTATGACTGAACATGCATGAGAAATCATATCTAAATTCATATACAAACTTTCTAACTATTGACAATAAGCTGCATGGTAAAGAAAGCAAAGCCTGTTTAAAGGTATGGTAGAGGTGAAATAGCATACTTGTCTATGGAAAAAAATGGGAATCTGTGAAAATTTATGTAGGGAGGATAGCATGCCCAATCATGCATCACCTCCCTTCTTCGCTGACGCAACTTTTGACTAGTCTCTGTGTGTCCAGCAAAATGTTGATAGTTGTATACAACAAACCGTTTTTCTTAAAGTAAGAAAATGTGAAAAGTAAGCAAATGTTAAACACAGGAAGAATAAATTTACACACAGAGGAAGAACGCGACCGAATCTGTTTTTGTGACATGTTGATTCATGCAACACAGTGTGCTTTTAAAATTATACTTTTGATCCAGTTTTAAGGTTTACTTTTATTTAATTCTTTACTGTTGTATCTATAGTGTCCTTATTGATCATAAGTAATTATAATTGCGTGCAGTTGATGTTTGACATGTATTCATAATTTACAATGGTTTATTCAATAACAAAGGTTTTTTATAATATGAACTGACTTGTGCAAGAATATACATGTATGGAATTTTTGATTAATGAAAGGGAAAAAATCCATTCACATCTTCGAAAATCGTGTTTTAATCATTGACATCCATACCCGTCTTTGATAGGTGATTCTCTATTCCTGAGTTAAAACTTGTAAAACTTTATAAGATTTAGCATTAGTCCTTTGGAACTTGACCAATCTTAATGTTATTATGTATTCTGCATGAGATTCTTATTTATGTATTTTTATTTCTATAACAATTGTTTTTAGTTAGTGATGTATATTTAGTTATATATCTAGAATGTTCTATATAGATGTCATTAATGTGTTATTATACTGTTTGTTGAAAGATATCCTGATTCACTCTTCATTTTCGTTTGCTAATTAAATGTGTTTATGTAACAAAACTTACATGGATAAAAGATTGATGTAACATTAAAGTGTAAATTATGATTATCATTTCTTAACTGATATGTATGTGGTCATGTACTAATTCAATTGATTTCAGTAATTTTCAGTATAATGTGCTACATATATACATGTAGCAAGACACTTAATTTTGCAAAGATTAGCATTTATACACTTTCATCCTTCAACCATGCACTTTTATCCTTCACCATTACAAAATACATAGGTAATTCAAAATCAAACATTTGATATTGATAATTATACATTAAAATGATCTAAATGCTATTTAAGCTACAAGAACATTGTATTAAATTGGTAAACAGAACAATTTACAAAAGGAATGATATCTGAATCATGTGGGATATTTACGATGTGTTATATACCAACACTGCCAATACGTTTATTGACATGGATTGAGGCAATATCTATTACATAATTTCGTTAGCTGTTTACACACGTCTGATAAGAAGTAGGGGCATTGTTATGTGACTTTGCTTTTACCAATAAATATACTAGCTTCATGTTTAGATATTTGACTTATTCATATCATTTTTTCATGCATACAACCTTTATGCTTACTTTGTACACGCCATGATGACATTTAGAATTGCAACAAAGAAACAAATGAATAACAATAAAGCCTTCACAGTTGCTCGATCACAAACTACTTTACTTCATTATTTTATATACTTCATGTTTTAATACAATAGAAAGCAGTGAAAGGTTTTACTGAGCTACTTTTATGTACATTTTGATAGTATTTTATTTATAAATTTGACCTCAGTTTAATGACACGTTTATTTACATCTTTTCGAACGTTTAAAACTCATTTGGACATTGTTTTCTCGTATTAATTTAATAATAGAGACTTAATTAAAGAATTTATCTTTACTAACTTAAAAAGGTTAGGCAAATTGTAATTTGGACGTCGCGTATTAAATATTTTTTAGCTCACACATATTAACGCAAGCGATCACAATAATGAATTTTATCCCCTCCAACGACAGGTACTAGCAACTCGTACATAGTAGGATGTACTGTCTTTGTAATATATAGTGCAATTTGGGTTGGGATAAAACACAGATGTGGGGACAAAACAAGGATAAGGGGATCATACACGGATCTTCTTAAAATTTTACTTCTTTTCATGAGGTAGTGTTTAGCAAAATTATCATAAAAATCTTTTGCATCGTGCGCTTTTTGTTTAAATTGTTCTATGTGCCAAATTGTAGGAAAGTAAAACAAAATGTTTTAAAACATCAATCAAAAAATGCTTCGCAATAATTTTTTTTAAATGTGAATATAGTTAGCATATAAGCTCTCTGCCAAAGACATTATCTATACATTGTTTTTCTGCCTGAAAAAGTGACCTTATGAATCAAGTTGCAGGTTAAATGTAGCGGGTAAAATGAATTAGAATAGCACTTTAAAAGTAGATGTTCGCAGAAAAAATAAGGTTAAATTCTCGGAGATTCTTTATTTCTGTATATGCACACTTGAATGTGCATTGTGTTGTCTTGGAATCAAAGCTCTCTGCTGTTAACACCAGATTATGTTCATAGCACTGGAAATTCATGACTTGCATTTGTTATACACATAGGCCCGTTTACACGATCCGATTTGTCGTATCCGACTGTTTCGGTTCCGACTTTAATTTGGTTACTTGCTCAGACGGTCGGATAATTTTGTTGATATTTATGTTCGTTTAAATATTTATATTTGTGTTATCCAGAATATTTATCGATGTATTTTTTTCGTATTTTTTTCTTGTTCACTTGTCGTTTTCAAATCTATGTAAATTGACTAGTCAGTTTTCATTGATCTTGTTTAATAAAAATAGAACAAGCTCTATTTTCATACAAATTTTTAGATGGACGAATCAGACTGTCTCACTTCTTTTGTGTTCCCAGGATCCGTTTTCTATTATCCTAAAATATTGTCATTAAACAATGTAATAAACTGACTGTTGCACCAAATTTAATCGCTTTCAAGTAACAAACAACGACATCGATTTCATTTCAAGTCTAAATAAATAAATGCTTCTTTTCTCTTGTCATTGTCGATATGTTAAACATGCGAGTTAATTATTTTAGTAGTTACTGTAGTAAAGCCATTTTTTCTTTTAAAATTTACTTAAGACTTTGACTAATGTAAGTATGATTGGACTCAAAAACTAGTTTGCTTTGTTATTCTTGGTAAGCATTTAAACATGGTTTTTTTCAAACCATAAAATACAACAAACATTAACTAGATATTCAAGTTAGATTTGAAACATTGTTAAGGCAAGGAAATGAATATAAGTGAAGCAGAACATTAAGTCACTGTGTTTAACATGATTTGTTTATGTTAGAAAGTTTTTTGTCATCGTTTATTCTTAAAATGATCGTTGTAGAGGGTTTTTATCACTTAGTTACGTACATCAACATGTTTTGAACTTTTGATATGATAAAACTTGTTTGTTGATATGTGTTGATTTGCTACTGAAATAACATACTACAGTCCATATTTTATATGTTTTCTTCATCTTTTATAACTGATCAATGATTGTAAACAATATGTGAACGCTAAATATATTTTTGATGAATGATTGTTGGGTGGGAGCTCATATTAATTTATGTATATGATATGTTTTTAGGCATTTTACCTTGTGAGTTTTTAAGTGTAGCTTCCACCAAAAAAATATTTTAGCAATATCAAATCTGTCGATGATTCTAAGCCTCGTTAAGGAAAAAACTTTGAATTTGGTCAAATCGTTTGATTTTTGTAAAAGCGTTAAATTCACTAAAATCGTATATTCTTGTAAACCGTGTCTGTGATACTGAGGAGTCTGAAACTAGCTAATGTTCTGACCTCATCCAAGGTACTTGTGTTACACGAGTCGTGTATTCAATTGTTATAAAGTCAGTGCTGGCTGAGGCACAACTTAAGTCTATAAGCGCCTAAAAGCATTGCCTTTGCACTAGTAAAAGCAGAAAAAAGGTAAATAGTTGCGTTGCAGCCAATTGTACGAATGAGTGAAGCCTTTGGTCTCGTATGAGTCTTCACACTATGCCTTATAATGATAAAAGGCCCGAGGCCAAGCGAATTCAGAATATCTGGGTTTTAAAGTAAAGCGCGTATTTGAGCCTTCTAGTGCTTCAACACTTTGTTCAACTCGATAAAAACAAGAGGATTTGGAGAGTCAGTTTAGTAGTTTGCCGAATCAAAAGAACGCTAATTTTCAAGGGCTTAAAAAAGATGAGATTAGAATTTGTGTCTTTTCATGCTTTGGAGTCAAAATCCGAATCATTATCGCTCAAGTTTTATTGCTTTCCGAGTTTTTTGTCACGTATCCAGGAATAAAGTTATTGTCAGAATTTTCTGACTGAACACTTAATTCTGATTTTGATTCATCGCTTCCTTCGCAAGACATAATGCTCTTGAATATTATTATTAAATGCTCTTGAATATTATTATGTTTAATATAAGCTAAATATGCCCGATCGCTGACTATATTGGATGACGTCAAATACTTTCTAGTGCCAGTCTCTTTTGTATTATAGAAATCGACGGCGTGAGGCCAAAAATGCACAACTTCAAGATTCCATAAAAGCTTGTTGATTTGACCAAATTTTTGAAATTTTTTCTCAGAAAAACTTAAAATCGTAGAGAGATTTTATATTGCTAAAACAAATTTTGGTGAGTGAGGCAGTGAGTGAGGCAGTGTCTGTCTGTCCGTCGTGATATCTTCGGCTGTGTTCTCGTTCATAGTCGCAAATGCTAGCGATAACAAATAGTATTGTTTTGTCTCGTGTAGTCAATGCTTGGAACTTGATAGGTACACTGCAAAGTCCGTGTTTGTATTTTGTTCTGTGTTTTATTCGTATATCACGTTGTTTATCTCTCACCCTGTGTTCTGTGTTTTGGATATAGTTTTCTTTACATTTATTTCAATTAGTAATGACGACAATTTTGATTTAAATGATCGTCAAAAATGACGAAGAATTTAAATATTTTGTGGCCCTATAGAAAATAACTACATCAGCAATGATATATGTAACATGTGCAATGTCTCTTCATTTTAACAATAAACATAAAAATTTAAATTAGAACAGAATCATCGGAAACATTGTCCTATTAATAAGCAAATATTCGTACAACACAACAAACCGATTTGATATATGTTTTCACCACACCATTGTTAGACAAATAAGATATAATATTCATTTAAAAAATTTGTTTTAATTCAAAATGGCCAAGAAATTATTGTTCTATCATTGAATTTTTATAAGAGTAATAAGAACATTGCAATTATATTGTTTTTTGCAAGCTTCCTTTGCACGATATTAGCACGTGAACACCAGCAGACATAACATGCACTGAGCGTAGGAGAGCAATAAAAAGAAAAGATAATGATAATTACTGGGCATTTTTATTAAACATTGAGCACAGAAAACATTTTGCATCAAAGAGAAGTGCCAAAGGAAGGAATGATTTCATTTTGTGGCATTTTGACATGAAAATATTTTTTATTTTTCATATGCTATTATTACGGAATGACCTTGGGACTTGACCTTGGGAATGGCCTTGGGACTTCACTTAATTTAATGAAAAATACAACACTAAGCAGTTGCACTACTGACTACTGTTTGTTCCATGTACTGTAACTTTGGTCAAGGCTACCCACATGTACAAACACGTACCTATTTTTATGTACCTTGTACATCTGGAGACGGTTGCACAAAGCCTGGATACCATTATTCGTTGGATAGTAAGATTTTCAAACTTGTAAAAAAAGGTGTTTATATTTTCCTTAGGGGAAAGAAATTTTGTAATCTTAGAAGCAATATTTTAATTCAATGATAGCTCAGTTCAAATCACATATTACTTTAAGAGATTTGTATAAGTTCAAAGCAATTTAACATCTAATGGATAAAACTATTCTGCCTTCATGTAACCGGCTGCATGTTTTCCTTTATAATCACAATGAATTTGTACCATGGAAGTCTTACATACTTTTTTTCTGCAGGGAGCTACATTATGTCTGTCTTGAGCTCAGACATGAAAACTAATGGTTTTAAGTTGATGAGATTGATTGTTGATGTTGGTGGAGAAGCTTTAAGAATAACATTGAGGAAACAACTGTCAGGTACTGATTTATCTTATGTTTTAAATGATCCTGAAAATGCACAATTACTTTCAAGTCTAAAGAATAGACAAATCCAGCAACATCAGTGGGATCTACTATATCCTGATCTTCCAATATTACCAAATGAAAATTATTTTGACATTACTTTACTTTGTATACTCCTGCGTAATATTTGTGGTTTAAAACCACCACGTGATCCAATATGGACGTCAGTAAATGACCCCACTGATCATTCAACTGAAGCAGATATTACCCGTATCAGATTATTTCGTAATGAACGTTTTGCTCACTTACCTAACACTTCAGTAAGCTTTATAGAATTTGAAAATCATTGGCTGGAAATAAGTGAACCATTAGTTCGTTTAGGAATAAGTCAGGAAGAAATAGATAGATTGAAAAATGACTTGTTTGGTAATGAAGAATGTGAAAGAATTTTGGGAAAATGGAATAGATTAAAGAGCGATTTAACTGATATTAAAACTGATCAAAGAGGTATTATGAGAACAGTGGAGGGTGTAGAGAAAAATTTACAACACGTAAAAGATTTTGTCACAGTAATAAAGACGAAGTACATGAAATACGACATCACCCTCACTTAGGTCCAGAAGAAGATATTTTGACAAAAAACCTTGTTAGCTGTAACTTTGAAAGTGAAATTACGCATCATTATGAAAAATTTTTGCATGGAACACGGGAATGGGTTTTTAAAGAGTTCTTAGATTGGTTTGAAGACGACACTTCTGAAAATCGTGCATTTATTATTTCTGCTGTTGCTGGTATGGGTAAGTCTGTAATTGCAGCTACTTTATGTAAACGTTATCCACAATATTTGACTGCAATTCATTTCTTTCAACACAAAAACAGTCGTTACAATAAAGCCAATGTACTTCTTCAATCTTTAGCCATGCAAATTAGTCGTACGTTTCCTGCTTACGAACAACTTCTTGTAAAAAAACTTTTGGGTCAACTGTGTGAGCCTTTGAATAACATGAATATGGAAGGATTATTTTCCCTTCTTTTTACTGAGTTGTTTTGTAATATCTCAGAACTTCCCAAGCGAATGTTAGTTGTGCTGGATGCCCTTGATGAATGTGGATATCGAGAAAGAGATGACCTTGCTAATTTGATTGCTAATCACTTGCACAAACTCCCACATTGTTTTCGCTTTGTAATTACGACAAGGCCTAACGAAGTTTCTTTGAATAAATTCGAAAAATTAAATCCTCTGTTCATTAACTGCAGCGATAAGCGCAATTTAGACGATATCAATTATTTGATTGAAGAAAGATTTGGCTCTAGTGACAGCATTCCTGGTTTTAAAAATATTTTGGCAGAAAAGGCTGACGGACTTATGTTGCTTGCATCACTTCTTACCAGTGAAGTCAAAAATCAGGATTTGATGAATGCTTCAATACCCAAAGATCTCAATGAATATTACGAAATTTGCTTAACAAGGTTAAGTAAGGAATTAGATTCGTTTAATATCAGTAACAAAACGTTTCAGTCACTTTTAAATGCTCTGGCTGTCGCTGTAGAACCTCTTCCTTGGGAAATGATCGATGACGTTCTTTGTTTGAATTCGAATCGCAAATCTATTGGGATTAGAAAAATTATCTCTTGTCTGTTTGTTACTAATGGAGAAGGATGTGTTTCGTTTTTTCACAAATCCTTAAATGATTGGTTGCTGGATGATCGAAAACATATTTACTCAGTAAAAACTTCTTGTGGTCATCGACTTGTTTTAGAATTTTGTTTGAAATCTTTGGATAACCTCAAAGCTGAAGGTGTAAACTATGACATCATCAAACATGTGTCAGTGAGGTATTCAGTTAAGTATTGGTTGCTTCATTTACTTGATATTTCTGATAATGATTATATCGTTGAAAATGTTGGTAAATATCTTGTTGACTTGGAAGTTTTAGTTGCTTCTGTGTTGGTTGATGGTCGTCGGACTTTTGAAAATTTTGAGTTATTCAACGCACATGATGTGTACTTTCTTGTTTCTGAGGAGATTCGATTGTTATTTAATGAAGTTTATTCTGTGATAACGTTCTCTAAGGTCTTTGACAATAAGGTATCTTTTTTGCAATACGTTGCCAACGACGTCAAAGATCTGTCGTCGCAAGCAACCACAATGCTTCAAACACGTTTCAAAGATTCACCATATCTAGAGGACAAAAACATGGGTTTTGTACGATTATTACGATTATTTCATTGGTTGATTTCTGTTGATGTTTCACAAAATCATGATTACGTCGTGTGTGGTTATAAAGGATTCATCGTGCAACTTTTTTCATTGAGAACAAACACGTGTTTATGGATAAAAAATATTGCTGGTCAGTTTAAGCAATATGAAGAGGAAAATTGTTGCGTTGTCTTTCATCCATTCGAAGATTTGATTTTTGCTTCCCAGCTTGATAAGATACTGAATATTAATGGTAAAATTTCCTTCAGTCCGTTCCATTGTGATGATTCTACTTCTAAGTTCTTTACCAACAAATGTTTTTCTAAGGACAAGTGCACAATGGTCACTAGTTACAAAGATACTTTGACAGTATGGGACGTTGACAAAGGTGAGAAGAAACGTAGTATTAGATGTAATAATGTGACCTCACTGTGTTTTTCTAATTCTGGAAGATATTTGTGTGTTATTGAGGAAGAAAGAGATGTTCAAATATTTGATGTAACGAATAATTATAAAACATTCGTTTACTACGATCATTTACTGTCTGGTAATTTAAGTGAGCCTGGTATTTTCTTCACTGTTGGTCTTCATTCTTGGTGTTGTGGTTGGCCTCCTTTTTTCCTGAGTGAACCTTTCATTTTAAATCCCACTGGAGAGAAACTTCCTGATTTTGATCCTGATTCCCAAACTTTGTTTTTTCCTCTTGATCCTTATGATGAGAACAGATCAAGCTTTTCTTTTGATAGAGCAGGAAAGTATTATTTTATCTTGTATAACAACAATGTTCTTTTGTTTAATTACAGATATGACTTTTATCTTTGTTTAATTCCGCGTGCATGTTTAACTAACAGTTACAGTATTTATAACGAGAAATTTTGCTCAAATGGAAAATTTCTGTATTGGAGCAATAAAGAAAATTCAAGGATAGTTCTATACAATCTTAAAACATTTGACTGTGTTGTCAAGGATGGTTTTTTTAGTGACATGGTTGCTGTAGAAAATGGAGTTATTTTGCTTACCGCAAAAAATATTCCTGAGCTTTGGAATAACGATTTGACAAAACTTGTCTATAGTTTTGATGAACTAAAAGGTACAAACAAAATTTTTGAGGTGAGTGATGTATCATTTGCTTGTCAAAAAACTGATTCTTTTGTGTTTTTCAGTGTAGAAAACAAGCGAAAAGAAATATCAGTGAATTTTAAAAATTATCGAAATGTGCACGTATTTGCATGTAGCTCTAAGTATCACGTGTCGGATGATTTACTGTATGTGGCATGAAGACAAACTTGTTAATGGTTGGAATGACGTAATTAGGAAGGAAATGAAAAATTTAATCGCCGACAAAGACGTTGAATGGGAGTACCTGTGTTATAGGACTCCCTGTATAACTTACGCAGATTATTCACCTTCAGCAGATAAATTATTAATAGGTAAACCAGAGCTGTATGTGAAATTCTTTAACGTTAAAAACCTACAAATTATTTGTACTTTCACTGGGAATTTAGGCTATGGTAAGTTTTTCTTTCTTGATTATAGATTTATAATTGGTACAAACTTACAATTGATTGATTTGAAGTATTTTAAGAATATGGAACTACTTCTCCCACTAGTAGATCGGTATTTTAAAAGGTTATGTATCTGTCGTAAAAGCAAACTTGTTTTAACTTTTTCTTCCTTAAAGTTCGCGGTACAATGCGCTAAAATTATCATGCCACGAGAAGAAATTTGATCTTTGATGATGAAATTTCTCCGTATGTTTGATGATGACATGTCAACTACATTATCTTAAAGAAAATTTCATTCAGTTTTTATGCATGATCTCGAACATTGTTGACATCATATTTAATGTATGTTTGCGTATGGTTTTATAAAATAACCTTTGTCTAAATTTGATTTTTCTGTAAAGTTACTGTAGTTTGACGATAATGTCAACAACAAAGTAAATGGTTTGAACCCGGGAGCATCGTTACATGTTTGTAGATGTAGATCTTCCAGGTTGGTAGAGTCCTGGGAAGGACTCTTTTTGTTATTGTTGACTGCCGTTTCGACAACCTGAGCGGTAGTCATCTTCATCAATGTCAACAATTTTGGAGATCATGCAGAAAAATTAAACTTCATCAATTAAAGATGGCAATTGAAAAACAATAATGAAGGCAAACCAACAGCAGAAAGGACTTTTGTGTCAGACAGTAATTTTACTTGTACAACGAAATAATTTTATTGATTTTATCTTGTCACACAAACATAGAAAAGGCAAACTAGTGTTTGTTTTTGCACCTAAGGTTATGTTTTGTTAAAACGTCATGTAATCATAATTTTCATGCAAGTTTATTTTGTGCAGAATGGTTTCAATACTGCACGCGGCACATTTTTTGTTACTATTTTACACTTAAAGCAAGTTCTTAGTAATTTAATCAATTCTATCTTTCCATAAAAGCATTTTTTGATACAATTTAATTACTGCGTTTTGATATACAAATCATGGATACATTAAGTTGTTAATTGAGACAAAAACAGCCCAATTGTTACTTTTGTTACATAAAGATTTGCGTCTTCATGCATTTGAGAAATGTAAATTTATGATAAAACAATGGTAACCTTTGCCATATGTTTTTCTAGCAAAATTAAAAGTTTGGCTATCTTTGTCACTGATTGTTAAAAGTTAAATCGTAAACTCCATAAGAAAATGACTTCATGATTTACGTTCATCATCGTGATAAACAATTTAAACGTTGAGATGGAAAACTCCAAACCATGTGTTACTGTACGAACAGGAAAGCTAACAAAGCTAGAGAATGTTTTGCAATTTAGGAAGAAAGAAAACAAACGATAATGATGCACATGAAAAGATATTTAAAGACACGTTTTTAACATGAAATAGAAAATCGATGTCAGAGATTGTTAACGTTTAAACAGTTTTACTTTCTAGGATCCCAATGAATTTTACGAAATTTCCTTAAAAAGAATAAGTGACGAATTAGATTCATTTCAAATCAGTAAAGAAAAATTTCAGTCACTTTTAAATACATTAGCTGTTGCTAAAGAACCTCTTCCTTGGGAATTAGTTAAGGATATAAATAAAAATAAGGTGAGAAGGAGATGAGGATGTTAGTCAAAAGAGACGTTTGTTAACGCTGTTGTCAATTTTTTTGTTTAAAAATTGTCAAACAACGAAACAATTTATTGAAATCTTTTGCACAGCGTGATTTGTTTTATTCTCTCTCAATCAAAAAGTTATACACTTTTCTCTTTAGTCTCACTTAAGAATTGTTAACAAACAAAAAAAACATTAAAGGACTTATTCCATTGAATGTTCAACAAAATAAACTTCAACATATTCTTCAAAAAACTCTTTGCCCGAATCGGTTGAAAAGTTTGTAGAAGAATATGTCGAAGAATATGTTGTATAAATTAGTGAAATAATGTTATTTCGTTCGATTACTGTTATAAGGTTTTGGGTTAAGCTTAGCAAAGGTCAGCACGAACGTATTAAATTGTTGCACGATTGAGAGGGTCAATTAATTATAAATTTTAACAATAAGCATGTGAAGCGCAGTGTATTGTGGTTCGTAAAGATCTTGACTGGATTTATTTTGAAGAAGGTAGAGCATTTTTGAAAACCAAGCTCATTTTTATGCGGTTAGGCAAGTTTGTATTGTTAAAATTTATAGTTCAAGAGGCTCTTATCTATAACATTACAGTCTAAATAATTTTAAATTCACTCTATTATTCATTCTGTGCTTTACACTGCCTTTTACTACAAAACATCCACTATTATGAATGCTCAAGTAAGTTTAAACAAGAAGTATTAAAGCAATTACATAGAAAACCAAACCACGTGCACCACTAAATGTGAAGAAACATGTAAATAAGTAAACTGTACAATAGAAATCGACTTCACAATGGACATTCAATTTTGTGATAAACAAGTGCTCATTGATTTTAAACGCTTCAAACTATGTGTTATTGTACGAACGAGAAAAGTTAACAAAAGCTATAAAGAGTTTTGCAAATATAAAGAAAGGAAAAAAGCTAAAGTCCTGTTGTGTAAGGATGTTCGAGGATACATCTACGACTTTTACTGAAAAATTTCAAATCAAGAATTTTTGCTCTGCAAACATCTGTACTGTAAAGGAGAAATCGACTTCAAAATGGGCATTCAATTTTGTGATATACAAGTGCCCATTCATTCCAAACACCCCAAACTAGGTGTTATTGTACGAACGAGAAAAGTTAACAAAAGCCATAAAGAGTTTTGCAAATATAAAGAAAGAACAAAAGCTACAGTGCTGCATGTGAAAGGATGTTCGAGGATACATCTATGACTTTTACTGAGAAATTTTAAATCAAGAATATTTTCTCTGTGAACACCTGTGCTTTGTGAATCAATCGTATCATTTATGGGCTGCGACAAAAGAGAATTTAGTATTGTTGTGGAGCCCATGAGCGTAATTAAAGTTTATTTGCAATAAAAAGTGTTAAACAATTAAAAGAACATTATTCACTCAAAGATCAGTGAGCACACTGGAAATGGATGTCCAACGAGAGTTGATATGTACTAATGTATAGCATATTGAAAATTTTCACTGTCTAAATTCAAACCAAAGGAATGACTAATTTATCTTCTAAAGCACTTGGTGGCATAGTTTTCTATTTTTCTTAAACTATGAAGTTTCATCTGCAAGCAAAACTGGAAGACAAAGGCTGTGATATTGGTTATTGACTTTGTTAACAACACTTTTAAAACCTGAAAGTGAAAAAATGGTCATCCACACAACCGTTTTCAAAGGAATTTCAAATGTTGTTAAAAAACTGTAAACAATTAAAGTGACTGAACATTTGTGAGAGAGAATAGAAGAATGTCGCATGATTACAAATGTGTTGTAGCCAATGGACTATCGTTCAGCATTTTTGTCGATGCCTCAACCTGGAGTGACAGTTTCATGTCTACTTTGTTTCATATAAATAATATGTCTAGACTACATCAACATCAATATGTAAATGTAACGTCAATCTGCAACGATGAGAAGTATACGACACTTTGAACGTTTTTCTCAGGAAGTTAAGTTTTTTAAGGATGTTTCAATTGGTTATTTTCAAAATTTTCAATGGCTTTTTTATACGTGTCTTCAATAAATGTAGTGTAGCCAGTTCACTCATTAAGTTTTGTTGTGCAAATTCAAAAATTGAAAATTAACGTATTCTAAAGAAATGAATGATGATGATGCTCAAAAATTTGCACAGCAAGACTAACACGAGTGATCTAGTTACATTATTAGTCAATGATTTACTGTTGTATAAAACTATGTATATATGATATTACTGTCCATTTGAAGGAAATGAATTGTTCATTTTGTAGGACATAAATAGGCAGTTGTTATGTGAGTCAAAAATTTTTCAAAAAGCATATAATGAAATAATTAACAAGTATTTTAGTTGATTTTATTAACAATTATTTGCATGACTTTTATTAATTTTGCACTGTAATATAGAATAATTGAAAAATTATTGTATGTTGTGTGTGTGTTTGAATTATGTGACTCCAGTGATCTTTGACCTAAAATGCTGCTATAAATTATTTCCTATTTATCCTAGCGGCAGTTAAACCAAAACACGTGCTATAAAGAAGAAACTGATCTTATTTTTATCGACATTGAATTTTTGGCATTTTTCTAGATAGGACTGAGCCTTTTTTACGAAATATGAATCTTTGTCAAATGTTTCCAACAAAAATAGTATAAAAATTTTGTTTTTATACACAAGATAGAAAACAATAAATTTGAGTGCACGTTCCATATTAAGTAAGGGCAATATGAATATGCTCAATCCTTCCCCTCTAATTTTTTTAAAGATGTAAAATTGTACAGATGCAGATAATAGGTCGCTATGTGTTATTCGTTCATTGTGTAAAGCTTCTACTGTAGTCCTTTCTTTTTGTAGTCAAGTAGTCTGGTTACTAGTTCGAGTAGATTTGGTTCTGCTGGTGTAATGGTTTGTGCTGGTAAAGATATTTTCATGGTTTCTGCAGTCTTTAGTGGTGAAGGTCTCTGCGATCCTTGTTCTTTTGTCGTTTCTGGAAAGTGGTTTTGGGGGCCATGGATTGCTGCTTATTGGTGAGATTTGGTTGAGATAGTTTTATCGGGTGTATATTTTGTTATCATGAACACTTCATTAGCATCAGTGCATACGAGTTATTGTTCTTCAACTGATGTTAAATAGTGAAAACATTTCTGCTCCTCTAGTGATTCTTTAAATCTGTAAACTTTGGTGTGATGTGGATCGCGTTGCAGAACTTTGATGATGATGATCCCAATTTTAATCCATTTTGTGGGAGGTGGCCCTGTTTGGTTTTTATATCTAATACTCTGTGCTTTTTCCTGTGTTTTTGGAGCTTTATGGAAGGTGAGCTTCTCGGATCTGCTTGTGGCAGTTTTTTAAAGGCTCCTCTAAAGTCTGAGTGTACAATAACTTATGTTTTTTTATATTGTTGCTCATAATTTTTTTTGGCAAGCCATAAAAATCAACAAATCTTACTCCCCACATTTAATTTTCAACTGTCGCATGAAATTTTTTTCTTGGGTTTTATATTAGTTGTAACCTACTAGGTTATCAATGAAGGTACTTTAGAGTAAACCGATATTGTTGTTTTTGTGTTTTTGCTTATCATGTATGTCAACTACACTATAGTCGAACATGTTGATTGTACTTTGTCATTTTATTTGGTTACTTTGCTGTGAGCTCTAACATTTATATACATATAGACATATACATTTGCAAAAATTATTCCATGTCGGTTTTTAAGATAGAAAAAGTTTTTAGGACAATTACAAGTGGAAAATCAATTGGATCTCCACGTTTTCCAGCATGTTGTCTAGTTATAGCCAACCGAAACTAAGTAGGACAGCTGGTGCAGTTTCTGGAAGTTGGTATGTAACATTTCATATACTACTATTATACCTTAAATAGTTAACGCAGTCATATTTATAACAGATAGCAAATGCCTATGTCATAATCAAACTTTAGTATGAAGGAGCGTAGTGCAGAATGCAAGTTTAAAATACTTCGAGATGATCTCATCTGTGACATTATCATATGTGGACTTAATGATAACCGTCTTCGTGAACGTCTTCTTCGAGATCCAGAATAAACAATACAGAAAACTATACAAATGGACATGCTGCTGAGAAAACAACGGGACAAACGAAGGAACTTAAAAAGGAAATTAAAAGGCAAAGAATATATTGACAGTATACAGAAGAGAAAATTCACGAGAAACAAAAAGAAAAACATTGGCAGAGAATCATTCAGTTATTATAAATCCCTACTAAAGACTGTAAATTTTATTCTTACGCTCACAAGCGAGGGAAATGTTAGACTTATGGAAAAAAATGCACGAAGTGCTCTAAGCTGAATCATTTTGCAAGCTATGTCCAAGATAAAAGCAAGACGATCAACAATTTCAATCGTCGCTATAGTGAATTTGCAGACTATGATGTCAGTTGCTTTGTTTGGCATTTAATATAGACGACTAATTTTTTGAAAATAGACATGTTTCGACATCATTATGTAAATGCCAACATTTTCATGGGTTTTCACGAACGAAACTGGTTAAATAACTACAGCAACAACAAACCTTTATTTTACCGCAGATACGTTGACGACATTTTTTGTATTTTTCATAACAAAGACGAAGCATTACTCTTTTACGAATACATCAACAAACAACATCAAAGCATAAACTTTACATTGGAAACCGAACAAGACAATCAGTTACCCTTTCTTGACATCTTACTAACTAAATCACATGAAAACTGTATGACCTCTACGTACCACAAACCAACATATACAGGACTACTAACTTTTTTAGTTTCACACCATTAAATTACAAAATTGGACTGATACGAACACTGACCGACAGAGCACGGAAATTTAACAACACAGACATCGGCTTTCAACGTGATTTAAAGAAACTAATATTCACTCTCCAACGTAATTCTTTTCCTTTTCATTTCATCAACAACACTATACAACACTATTTGGACAACAAGAAAAGCACTGACTCATCTAACTCCACAACTAACACTAACGATATACAACAACCTGACAATAAACGTTATTTCAAACTACCTTACATAGGTGATTACTCACGACACACACAACGCAAACTCACCCAAATCATTAAACGCTACTGCACTGACATTGACGTTAAACTTATTTTCACACCTTTTAAAATAAAATCTTTATTTTCGTTTAAAGACCCACTTCCCGAAGTTTCCAAATCTATAGTAGTTTATCAATTTTCATGTGCGGGATGTAATTCCCGTTATATTGGTGAAACCTCTCGCCAATTATCTACCAGGATAAAGGAACATACTCACACAGACAAAAACTCCACTATCTACAAACATCTTCAAGCCTCTCCTTCATGTAAAAACAAATTCTCACCTTCCTGTTTTAAAATCATCGACACTGATCAATCCACTTTCTCACTCAAAATCAAGGAAGCTCTACACATTAATAAAACTAATCCCGATTTAAATATCCAAGTTCACCACTACAACACCACATTTACTTTATAATAATATTTTTTGTTATAAGTTCTTAATACTTATTTTTCTTTTCCTTTTTTGTAAATATTTTATAATTTTGTAACTAAATCATAATCCTATTCATTGTAATTAATTTATTCATATCATATTAGGTATCATATTACTTAACACTAACCATTCTGCACTGAAGATGGCATTCTGATAATGTCGAAACATGTTTGCTTTCAAAAAAATCGTCGTTTTTCTCAAGTGTTTTTGAAAATTGCTGCTAATTAGAAATTATGGTATAAATATTGTGCTTTAGCATAGGTTTCTCTTGCTGGAAACTCTTTAAGATGAAATTTCTTTACTCAAGATTTTTAAAATGAAACAAATGAACTAAAGACTGCTGAATCTTATGGCAATGACAATGAATATTCTGAAGATGGTATGTAAAAATAACAAATTTGTAAGAAATATATAATGTACAAACTGACGAGTGTCGAACGTTTGACATTTTCTAAAGAAATGAGTTCTACAAAATCAACATAGCCCATTGATAGATGTCTTGAAAGCAGACTGGGATTTTTTCTCTGTAGAACAGAGCATGTGCTCAATACTGCCAACAATTACAAGAGATACTATGTAGCTATGTACAAGCTTAAACCGTTAGCTACTTATATATGACCAACAGTGAGATATTAATTATCGTGCTAATTTCACGTTCTTTGCAAAGTTTTCATGTAGCTAATATTTTTCATTGTATATTTAGCACACCTATCTAAAATTCACAGACAACGTATGTAGTTCTGGGTATGTAGTTATTGAGCAAAAACATGTTTAGATCACAACTTACGTTCAGTCGTATGCAATATAAATTTCTTCATGACATGGTGTACGTTGAACTTTCATCTTTGAAAAACGTTGCTTAAAAAAGAGTGTCGCTATTTGTTGGCAATGTTAAAATTTAACTATTACAAATTTGCAATGAAAGTAAAATAATCACTCATATATTGATATATACTATTATTTCCATTTTAACTAAGGAAGAATTAGTATAAGAATTGTTTCCCTATCGACGATGTAAGTTTTCTTTCAACGAAAAATTGTTCTTTGTTCCATATGTCGAATGCCATTAATGAGATAACCACTATAAAACATATACAGATATACTGAGGAGGGGTACAGGGTGGGGCACGCAAACCTTAGATTTAACTCCCAAAAATAAAGTTCACACCCCTATCGGAAACATTTTAACTCCCTCAAGTTTTCTCGAAGGAAATCAGTTGTATAGTTGAACTGAATTTTTCTGGGCAATGTTTCAACTTTTTTCTAATATCTTTTGTGGCTGCACTACCAGACCTCCCCAAAAATCTACACTTCCATTGTTGTCACTTCTTTACCAATTGACTATTAAATTAGCACTTTTAATATCAAGTATTTTCTTGCGTGTAATATTTACTGTGAAATAAAAAATGTCTCTACCGAAGTCTTATGCTATATATTGTGGAATAATTCTTGTGAAACCAAAAATTCTTTTATCAAATTGATTAATTTTCGTCAATTATTGAAAGAAATTAGGTTAACTAGCGTGAGATTATTCAAATGATATTTAATCATATAGTATTTCTAGTCACGCAGATATCATATGACATTCTTCCTGAGATCAATACTTTCATTTTCTAGTCATCGTATTCATTGGGAAAGAGGCCTTACGAAAATTTCGATAAAATTGTGCAAAGCATTTTCATCAAAAGGTAAATATCATGTATTAAGTATTTGTTGTTCGAATTTCAGTCACATAAGTAAAGTACATGGGAACGAACTCCTGAATTCGAATTCCAGTTTGTCACAGATTGTTCAAATTATTTCCGTGAACATTCGCTATCTATATGTTGCTAAAAGTTTGATAAATTGTATGAATGATTGTAAGCAATGCAAAGTTACATGCGATCCCAAAGACAAGTCAATGTAAATCACCGTTAGTTACTGCTTGTGATTAAGAGGTTAACTAAAAGCAGCTTCCACAAGATCGGAATATCTTCGAGTCTTCGACAGTAGATAAAAATCATATAATAAACATTCGCTCCTAGAAATGTTTTGAAATGACACTTCCCATATTTGAATTTATTGTTACATGTTTCGTTGTACTAATCACTGCAATGTATGATGAATTTTTGATATTCGTTTTTTAAGTAACAATAGGTGATATATGTGATTCTACAATTGTTTTGATGAGAAATTAACTAAAGCGCGCTATGCATGATGGTTGTTGGCAAATTCTATTTCAAAAATCGAAAGAGTTTTTGAAATTTATCTGCTCAAATTCAATTTTATTCTTAAGGTGTCGACAGTAGACTGCATTTTATTTTATCGCTTTGAGTCATCAGTAAACATATTTATTTGAGAAATGAGAAAAGGCTACTCTCCTTAGCGGCTTTCACTTTTATTATGACGCATTTGCACATGTGATATTGTATAGTTTGCATTCTCTTACTTCGTCATGATCATTCTCGTTGAACAGAAATTATGCTCGTTATTGACTTTAATGCATGGCTATAAGCACGGTACTTATTACGTAGTTGCAACTCTAGATGATTTGTAGTCGATGTTTATTGAAGGTAAATGATATTTTGAAGTCAAAATTGACCAATTAATCTAGTTTGACGTTTTTTTCTTTATACAGTGAATCATGAGCGCCGACGACGACGTTGATAACGTTGATCAACAAGAACTAGACAGTGTTTTATGTATTGAAGAAGGTAACATGTTTGAAATATTAAAGAATTTTTATTGAATTATCAACCTAAATGTTAGAGTCCAACAGATCGTTTCAAAGATAATCATAAGCGTTCGATTTCTTTGATATTTATTAAAACAAAGCAAGTGACGTTTGTCGTTTTGTCTCGAGTCAAGACATCTTCAAATGAGATGTAATTACTTAGATAGTTAAAGTGCTACTGAAGTGAAATTTTCATATTTCGTTTTTCGATACAAACGTTTTCTCTGTATTTTACTGATCATTTTGAGCTATCGCCCACTGAATTTAATCGATGGGAACGCATCGAACTTTGTGTTCAAACATGGCATATTTGCTTGTTTTGACGCGAATTTTACTTTGAGTGCGTGACGTCATATAAAGGACGGAAGTTCAATTTTAAAGCTCTTAGTATATAAAAATTATATACGAACAAGCATATTTCCACCTGGAATTTTACATATTTTATAACTTCTCTTCGCAAAAATTGCGTATATTTAGTGACAAATGAGCAACACGCATAGGTAAGCAACATTTACAATCGATTAGAGTTTTATAAACTTCTTGAATTAACTTATATTTCTCAATAAACTGGTTGCCGCATGCTTGACGAAGTCGCGGTTTTAACATCCAATGCAAAGTTATCAGAAACCAACTGCAATGCGCTTATTTCACACGCAATGTTATAACTGTAACGCGTCATCCAATGTATACTATTATAAACTTCTGGATTAGACTTATCATTCTTATATGGGTGTCGCATCCTTGACGAAGTCTGCGGTTTTAACACACAGGCAATGTTATCAGAAACTAACTGTAACGCGCTTATTTCCAATCATCCAATGTATACTACTTTTATAAACTTCTGGATTAGACTTATCATTCTTATCAGATGGGTGTCGCATCCTTGACGTAGTCTGTGGTTTTAAAACCCATGCAATATCACAACGCACATAATATAAGGAGAATAATTTTTTATTAAGTTAGTCAAACGTAACGATACACCGCAAGTTAAAATATGGCGAGTAGGCAAAATTCTGCAAAAAATCGTCGAGGAGGACAATATTGTGTTGCTGGGGCCAACGGAAAAGTTGTACAAACAGTCAACACAGAGGGTGTATCAGTACATCGTTTCCCCATGAATGACAAGGAGAGGCTGAATAAATGGACGAAATTTGTTAGGAGACATAGGCCAAAATTCGTTCCTCAGCAGTACTCTGTGCTATGTTCAATGTATTTCGCAGATTCTGCATTCACCGTGAACGCAACAGTTGCAAAATCGCTAAACATGAGACGACGATTGCGAAATGGAAATCCATTGCTAGGCACATTACAAACAAGCATGAAAACCATCCAGATGAGTTGTTTCCTAAATGTGCTCATGGAGAGCTAGATGAACGTCTATGGCTTCAAGTTGGTATGAGCATGCACACATATAGGCAGCAAGACAGAATTGAGATTGTTAAAATGTCTAAAATGTTATTTACCACTTTTCAGATGGGATTGTATTCTTTTTAAGGAACTAAATCATATCAGCGACTTTCCTCCATTCTGTTGAAAAAATCTGTTCTCAAAGATGTTAAAAAACTATCTTCAGAAGCACAAACTAGTTGTCTCGAAGGTTTTCATTCAACATTAAATGGTTGGCATCCAAAGATGACCCACTTTTCTTGGCTTGGTACATATTGCAGGTAACTTGTAATCACTGTTCTCTATCTGCCAAGCCTTTTTTACTTGTTCCTAGTCAAGAAAAAAAATTACATAATAAATGGTTTGTTCTGTTTAGGCACGTACTGGCAGTACTTCATTTCAATGAAAACCTTCACAGACAGCCAAAAACAAAAATGGAACACCATATTATTCTGTGACATACCCAAAATTTAAATCAGGGATGAAGTAGTAAGAACTGTTTCTTCAGCACCATCATATTGTAAGTTTAGCATGTATGCATTGGTACTCTTGACTTACACATCTAACCACTTGTCATTTTTCCAGACTATGTTAATGAAATCAAAATGTCATGGTTCTTAGTTGTGAGGAATCCATGGACAACATATTTAAGAAGTATAAGGAAAAAGTCCAGAAGCCTTAAACAAAACTTTCTCGGATCGAATTTCCAAAACTGAGGCAATCCAACGGCATTTGGATAGGAAACAACTATCTTCAACACCATTGTTTCCCACATGTAAGTTGTTCATGCTACCATGTATAATAGGTATGGCCAGTGCATTCTAAAAGTAAACAAATTAAATTGTTATTTATAGATCAACAGCAAGATGTACTGCAAGCAAAAGGTTTAGACAAAGAAAACAAGCTGCTTCAACAGGTCCTTCAGATCCAAAAAAATGCGCTTATGCAAAAATTGTGGACAGCCAATGAAAGGACATCCAAAAGGTCATTGTCCACAAGAATTACTTGACAAATATTCTTAGCAGGCCAACTTTAAAGTTAGTTATAAAATAATATACTATGCTACAAAAAATGTTCTTATTTGATTAATTATTTTGACTTCACACAACAAAATTGTGAAGCATCACAGCACAATAATGAACCACATAAAGGTAAAAAGTAGAGATACATGGCAAGATATTAATCATTCGTTACAAAACAAAATTAGAAATCAAAAATGTACTAACTCATTTTCATGTATTCTTGGTCATACGCTTGTATGACCTTCCATCTTGGTCTCTTAGAAGTGAGCCAACATTCTTCCAACATTCTTCAAGACTGTAGCATGTGTCATAATCGTGTACTCTTCGTGAAGAGTAACACAACTAATTTTTTCAATGCTAACATCGAATACCAGTTTATGTAAAGTAGGCCCAACCTATTGACAACAACGGTATTCAATGGCATCTGTCAGCAGTTGAGTACGACCCAAGCTACATGCACACCTATAAAAAAGTGGTTTGTTATCATATTTATGCACCACGACATAAGGACAAAATAACATGTTTAATTCATGGTTTAATTTCTTCTAGAGTTCTAGTAACATTTATCAACTTACCACTTATCTAACTGAAAGGTTCCTTCGAACCTCTCTTCCAATGTTCGAGGTTCTAAGCCATCTGCGTCTTCTTCGACCGACACAAAATTCTCTCCGACTGCGTTCGCAAGAGGTTCATTTTCGTAAGAATTTACCACTGAATTAGCCACAATTGTATCCTCATCGCCGGAATTTGAAAGTAAATTTTCATTTGCCATATCTGAGTTTTCAGTATCCGAACTGCGTTCGCTTTCACTGCTTGAAGAACTCATATTTTATTGTGTATATGTGTTAAAAATCTAACAAAATACTAGTAAATCAATGCTCATACTTCGACTTCCGTCCTTTTTATTACGTCACATCCGTATAATATTTCAGTGGTAAAAATTCGCACGCTTAACCCAACTTTGAGCAAAAATTTATTGATGATCCCGTGCTTCAATATGCATAAAAATTATACCAAAGTGATCAGGAAAGATAGAACTATTTGATTATAGAAAAAAATCGATACCCAAAATTTCACTTCAGTAGCACTTTAAGTTGTGAGGTTTGTGTGGATGTGTACTTACAGTGTAAAGCTGATATTGAGTATTGTAAGGAAATGTAAGAAAGATTGTAGAAGATATAAGGGGGATGAGTAATGGGGAGAAATTTACCATGAAAAGAGCTGAGGGGGACGTGCATTCTCCCCCCCCCCTTCCAACTATTCCAAAGACTAATTTAAGAGTCTTATTTTTAAGATCTGAAGAGAAAAAAGGGAGTTTTAGATGCTTCCTGTAAAGCGGCACACAGCAAATTAAATGTAATAAACAGAAACTTTTGAGCATCGTAGTATGTTTATGTAATTAGTCTGAGATGTCTTGAGTCAAGACGAAACGTCGCTTGCTTTTTTAAGTAAATACTGAAAAAATCAAATGCCGATGGCTTTCCCAAACACGATCTGTTGGGATCTTATCTTTATATTTAGAATTCGACTCACACCTGGCACCTCACTGGCTACATTGAAATTTTATAAATTCTTATTAATTGTTGTCCACTCATATTTACGATGTATTTGACATGTTTGACGTGTTTTTTAGTTGCAACCGATTGTTGAAATTCATATTCCATTGGAATCCTACAGTGGCAGTACGGCACTACGAACAAACGATTTGTCTCTGAATCGATACAGTAAATATCAATATGCTACCCTATTGAAGTGCTAGAAATCATACGGAGGTAATGGTTACCCTAAAGGATTGGGAAAAATTGAAAAAACAACACAGTTAAGAGAACGTTGCTAAATCGACCAGCGTACAAGGTTCACAAAAACCTTTGGTGGAAATAAGTAGTTTGACTTCCAATGATTTATCTAATGTCAAATTTTCACATGTTTGTAGATGTAGATCGTCCAAGTTAGTAGAGTCATGAGAAAGACTGTTTTTATTGTTGTTGACCGACGTTTTGACTTCCTTAGCAATCGTCACCTTTAAAGTCAAGTTGACTTTCTCAGGACTCTACTAACCATGACGATCTACATCTAGAAACATGTAACGATACGTCCGTGTGTAAACCATTTACCTTATTACAGTTAAATTTTTGCAAATCATAATCTTAGTAAAATATTTGTAACCGAGAAACTATTTTAAAATAGCTTGCACCAAAAATGACACCAATAGATTGCAATTGGAACGCATAAGGTTAAAATATGGCATATGTGGTTCAAACAAATTAAGTTTCAGTAAATTTGGATGATTCTTACGCGAACGTTTGTCTTCCGAATCGTAGATTAATTTGTGTTTTTCCGTTTATAAGACATTTTACATGAATCATCATCAATTTTTCTGTTTATAATGATTCAGGTTTTTTGGAAACTGAAATTTATACATAATTGAAGAGAGCTATAAAACGGTATTCAAAAACGAAAACAAAATAATCTGTGATTTGGAAGCTAATTGTTCGTGTACGCATTTGCCAAATTCCCTGAAACTTCATTTGTCTGAACAAAGTGTGACATATTTTAATTTTATGTGTTTCACTTGCTTTTAGCTTTGTCATTTTTGTGCGTGAGTTACTTCAAAAGCACTTCTCTTTAACACATTCCTCCCTCTAAAAAGGTTATTATTTGAAACAAATTTACTTAACTATCAGATGAACCATTGGAAGTCCAACTGCCTATCTCCACTTAAAATTTTTGCAAATATTGCGTGCTGATCAATTTAGCAAAGTTTTTCGTCACTGACTATTTTTTTGTTACCCTCGCACATGCATCTCCCAGTCACGGCCACGTGGTAAACGTTGATTGGTGGGGGAGGGTGTGTTGTTCATATATTCAATTGTGCCTGACTGATTTTTTTAAAAGCGAGTTGTTCAATTTCTTAAAGTGCCTATGAAACGAAAATTTTGTTATCTGAGTAATAATTTTATTAAAGAGATATTATAAAATGACAATGAACATTCTAAACCAGTTTATGCAGATCACTTTTAATTCTTGAGATATTGAGGTTTTTGCTACGTCAGTTATATCTAACTTGTGACGTCACATTGCATAATTAACATTATTAGGTATATTTACTGATACTTTACTTCACAACGACAGAGTTCCTTTCATTGTGACGGGGTTAATGGTATAAAATGCTGCCTACTGGTATCAACGTGAAGTTGTCAGGAAACTGAAGAATATTTGAAACATTGTGGGAACTCATTATGCAGTATGACGTCACAAGTTACATCAATTGGAAATAACAAAAACGTCAAAATCGCGAGAATATGCATTTACTGTTTTAGAAAGTACACTGTAATTTCAAAGGTTCTAGTCATTGCAGACATAATTTAACTTGCAAAATTTTCGTTGCTTTGGCACTTTCAGTAAATTGCTTTAAAAAGAAATAAGTTGGACGCAAATAAATATGTGAATAAGCCCCCCTCCCCTCCCTATAACTTTCTAGGGACAGCCCTACTCACAGTTCACAGGGCCTGCCCTAAAGTGATCCATTTGATAAATCTCGTTGTTCTTGATTTTATCATTTTTCTTTAAGCTTGTTTACGATATATTCCACTATGACTTTCACGAGTCAATAGATTGGCTGTCTCTTACTACATACCGTTCTCGACTACATTTTCAAACAAATAAAAAACCTTTTTACTAATTTCTATAATTTCTGACAGAGGAATCCAACCAAGTTGATGATGCCAATTCACTCCAGGAAACAAATCAGGATGAACTAAATGGACTTGAATCAATAGACCTTGAGGTCAGCAATCTCTTTGAGGACAGCAGGCAGAATATGGACTGTCATCTTGATTTTATGTCGGTTCCTCCGGAACTTTGATGACTGTTATTTGTTATGGCATGTCGAAATACAATTTGTCTTTTTACAACCATTGAAATTGTTAATGATCATAAATATTACATCCATATGCAATTGTTTAGCAAACTCAATATTTGGGGGAGAACGTATTCATACATGCATGTGCTGCAGAATTAAATTCTTTTTGAAATCCATTGTTTTCTATAGATTAAGACATGCATTCATAAATTTGTACCCTCCCCAATTCCATGAACGAGTTTGCTACGCCCCTGTTATGGAATAGACAGAGTAAATTAGAACATAAATAGAACATTTTTATCATTAGTCTATAGTAAAATGTAGACTTACTCAAGTAAGTTAATTAAGGTTCAAATATCGTCATGTGCAATATATTGCCAATATCGTTAATAGGAAAGTACATACAGGTTAGAGATATTATGGGGAAAAACAACTTGATATTTTTTGTATCCAATAATATCTAGTCGAATAAGGAGAGGCACTCTATCTGTTGTAACCAAATAAGTTTTTTGTTGTCAATAAGTTATTGGAATTGTCAAGGTTGGCCGAGAAGTTCATTAATTATGAAAAAAGTAACAAATTCAATAACCATTGGGAATAATCAAGCATTGTAACCGTATCAAGCGTTGTATCTACAGTGTCTTTATTGATCATAAGTAATTATAATTGCGTGCAGTTGATGTTTGACATGTATTAATAATTTATAATGGTTTATTCAATAACAAAGGTTTTTTATAATATGAACTGATTTGTGCAAGAATATGTATAGAATTTTTGATTAATGAAGGGAAAAAATCCATTCACAGTTTTGAAAAGCCTGTCTTAATCATTGGTATTCAAATCCGTCTTAGATGATTCTCTATTCCTGAGTTAAAACTTATGAAACTTTATAAGATTTAGCATTAGTCCTTTAAAATTTGACTAATCTCAATGTTATTATGTACTCTGCATGAGGTTCTTATAATCTTATTTATGTATTTTCATTTCTATAACAATTGTTTTTAGTCAGTGATGTATACTTAGTTATATAACTAGAATGTTCTACATAGATGTCATCAATGTTTTTTATTACACTGTTTGTTAAAGGAGGCTCTGACTCACTCTTCATTTTCGTTCGCTATTTAAATGTGTTTATGTAACAAAACTTACATGGATGAAAGATTGATGTAAGAATAAGGTATGAATAATGATCACCATTTTTTAAGTAATATGTATGTGGTCGCGTTGTTTATATTAAATCTCTCATCCGTTTGTTGATTATGTGACATGTAAAGATCTAAAGCAGGCATAATTTTGTTCACACGGTCGTCTTACTTCAAAAACGATGGTAATTTTAGAAAAATTAAGCGATATTTTAGAACTACATTATCGTCATAACAAATTAGCTAAAGCAGCATCTCGATAAAGTATGACTAAACATGCATGAGCAATAATATCGAAAATGATATACCAACTTTCTAACTATTGACAATAAGCTGAATGGTAAATGAAAGCAAAACCTGTTCAAAGGTATGGGAGAGGTGAAATAGCATACTTGTCTATGGAAAAAATGGGAATCTGTGAAAATTTATGTAGGGCGGACAGCATGTCCAATCATGCATCACCTCCCTTTTTCCCGACGCCACTTTTGACTAATCCCTGTGTGTCGAACAAAATGTTGTTAATTGTATTGAACAAGCCATTCATTTTAAAAGTAAGGACATTTGTAAAATGAGCAAATGTTAAACTTAGGAAGAATGTATTTACACAAAGAACGCAACCGAATCTATTTTTGTGAAATGTTAATTCATGCAACACTGTGAACTTCTAAAATTATACTTGTGATGATGTTTGTTTAACAGTTTAAAGGTTTACTTTCATTGCAACCTTTACTGTTGTATCTACAGTGTCTTCATTGATCATACGTAAATATAATTGCGTGCAGTTGATGTTTGCCTCGTATTCATAAATTACAATGGTTTATTCAATAACAAAGGTTCTTTATAATACGAACTGACTTGTGCAAGAATATACATGTATGCAATTCTTGATTAAAGAGGGGAAAAAATCCCTTTACAGTTTCGATAATCGTGTCTTGACCATTGGCATTCAAACCCGTCTTAGATAGGTGATTCTCTATTCCCGAGTTAAAACTTGTGAAACTTTATAAGATTTAGCATTAGTCCTTTGGAATTTGACTAATCTCAATGTTATTATATACTCTGCATGAGATGTTTATATATGTATTTTTATTTCTATAACAATTGTTTTTAGTCAGCGATGTATACTTAGTAATATAACTAGAATGTTCTACATAGATGTCATTAATGTTTTATTAGACTATTTGTTGAAGGAGATCCTGATTCACTCTTCATTTTGTTCGCTATTTAAACGTGTTTATGTAACAAAAGTTACATGGATAAAAGATTGATGTAACATTAAAGTATGAATTATGATTATGATTTTTAAACTGATATGTATGTAGTCATGTACTAATTCAATTTATTTCAGTAATTTTCAGTATAATGTGCTATATATATATGTAGCAAGACACTTAATTTAGCAAAGATGAGCATTTATACACATTCAACTTTCACCCATACACATTCATCCTTCACCATTACAAAACACACAGGTAATTTAAAATCAAACATTTTATATTAAGAATTATACATTAAAATGATCTAACTGCTAACCAAGCAACAGGAACATTGTATTAAATGGGTAAACAGAACAATTTACAAAAGAAATGATATTTGAATCATGTGGGATATTCATGATAAATTATATACCAACACTGCATGCCAATAAGTTTATTGACATGGTTAAGGCAATGACTATCACATGATTTTGTTAGCTGTTTCGTGCAACGTGCATGACATGGCGTCCAACGTGGGGCGGCTTTAACGAAATAAAGTCGCCCATATTCGTTTCTTACGAAAATGTCGACTAAATAGGAGGAAAAACTGGAAAGGCTTCGTGCTAGAAGAAGAGGACATCGCGGAATGTGTACAAAACTCGAGAAAGAGTCAGTTGAATTGTTATCACAGCCACCACATGATGATCTTGTAGAACGTAGCGAAATCATCGCACAACTCGAAGGGAAACTAAAAATATTAAGTGAACTCGATGAAGAAATACTGAACACGTGTGATGTCAATGAAATACAAGGTGAAATTTAGGACTCGGCCGAAATTTCTGATAGAGTTATGAGTATAAAACGAAAAATCGAAAGGTATATTAAATGCGCTAAGTCTCGTTGATACGAATGTCAACGATACCATATTTAACTCGAATTTGACGAACATGTCAAACCTTGGCCAAAACGAAAATAGCGAGAACTCTAACGAAAATTTAATAAATACGACGGAAAACTATGGTTTAATCGAAGGTTCAAGTAATCAAGTTACGATCGAAATTGTAAACGAAGAAATGTAACGAGTGACAACAGTACGACGACGGTCCAATTTAAGTCGAATATGCCGAAGCTTCCTAAGCTGGAGCTTCCGAAATATGGTGGTAAGGTTACGGAGTGGAGTTCGTAAGTAAGATACAGGCCAAGTAAGATACATATACGATAATGTAAGCGTTCATGTACAAGGATTATCGAGTCTTGGCGCTTCATCTGAACAATATGGTAGAATGCTTATCCCGATTATTATGACTAAATTACCTAGTGACATTCGTCTACAAATTGCCCGAAAATCGTCGGGAGACGTTTGGAAAATTGATGAGTTGTTGGATACAATAAAAACTGAGATCGAGGCTCGGGAGTTAAGTGAAGGAGTGCAATCAAGTCCACAGCCACAGCATGGAAAAAGTTCAGGAGGTCAGCACGAAACACCCAGAATACCTACGGTGAACGCCTTTTCGACTCAAAATACTTCAGTTAAACATATTCAATGTGTTTATTGTAAAGAGCCACACTTTTCGGCATCGTGTGATAGAGTAACTGATGTGAATGATCGCAAGAGTATATTAAGGAGAGACAATCGTTGTTTTGTATGCCTGCGAATCGGGCATCTCAGAAAAAATTGCGAGTCAAAGAAGAATTGCAGGCGTTGTCATGGGGCTCATCATCAATCGATTTGTGAAGTGATTAAGCCAAGTTTTACGCCTCCTCAACAAAAGAATGAAAACGATCCCAAACTTTCCCTCACTGGAAACAACCCACCAGAAACCAAGGAAGGAAACAACGTTCGCACCGCTACTATGATTGATGGAGATAATTACTTAACGACGAATACGGCAAAAACGCGTAATCAACTTCTTCTGCAAGGAGCTATTACATACGCCAATGGCGGGAATGGTTCCATTTCAATACCTGTTCGCGTGCTTTTGGACAGCGGTAGTCAGCGCACTTACATTACGAATTCATTAAAAAAACGACATGGACTAGTTCCCATCTGAAGAGAAGTTGTTAACTTAAATACCTTTGGCAACCAACATTTTACGAAGGAAAAATGCGACTTGGTTCATTTGTCCCTGAAAGGAAAAAATGGAAATTGAATCATAACAGCTCTTTGCTTCCCAAATATTTGCTCTCCATTAACAACGACAATTGATCTCAATCATTATCCTCATCTGATGGAGTTGCAGCTTTCCGATACCAATATCCTCTCTGGACGACAGACGGACAGCAACATTGACATTCCATTTGGAGCAGATTATTATTTTGATATCATGACAGGCGAGATTATAAGAAGTAAAGGTGGTCCTGTTGCGATTAATAGGGAATTTAGCTGGATTATCACTGGACAGACGAATGATGGTGAAACTAGTTCCAAATTGTCAAGCGTTAATTTAATCATCGAAGATTACTATTTTTCAAAGGAAGTTCCGTTTGACAAGAGAGAACCCAAATTACATGAATGTTCGAAATGGTTTTGGAAGATCGAATCAATGGGAATCAAATAATCCAGCGAATCACAGGATCAGGAGTTTCTGAAGAATATACAATATCTAGAGGATGAAGGGAGATATGAAGTGAATTTACCTTGGAAAGGGGAATATATTCCAAAATCAGACTGTTACGGTATGTGTTTGAAACGATTACACCTTCTAATATCTCGTCTCCATAAAGATAAACCCTTATTGCAATTATACGATACAATTATCAAAGATCAAGTGAAAGGAGGAATTATTGATCCAGTTCTTGTTGCACATGAAACCGGTTATTTCCTACCCCATCATGGTATACTTTGAGAAGATAATGAAACTACAAAACTTCGCGTGGTTTTCGATGGTTCGGCAAGAGCTACTAAGGAAGAGCAGTCACTCAATGATTGTCTCGAAAAGGGACTAAATTTGGTTCATCGTTTATTTGACACTATGATAAACTTTCAAGGCTTCCCCATTGGGCTTGTTGCTGATATTGAAAAGGCTTTTCATCAAATACAAATTGCTCCCGAAGACAGAAAGATGCTGAAGTTTCTTTGGTTTGACGATATTAACAAAGTTCACCGATTCTAAAGGAATACAAGTTCCGACGCCTACCATTTGGTCTAACCACAAGTCCTGCAATATTATCTACTGTTAGTCTTCACCACGTTTCGAAATACAAGAATGTCGATCCAGAAATAGTCTCCTTATTCGTTATCTCCTCGAGTCGTTATATGTAGACGATTTCGCTGGTGGAGCTTCTAATGAGGACGAAGCTCTATACATCTATCATAGATCTTGAAAATTAATGAGCAAGGGAGGATTCAAGATTCGAAAATGGCATTCAAACTCGCAATATGTCCGAAATGTTATCGCGAATGATGAAGATCGACCGTTTGTTGAGGTGGAAAATGAAAAGGGGTCATCATATGTTAAACATATACCAAGTACGATGGTGGAAGACAAGTTAGTAAAACCTCCTTCGCCTCATACAGAGCCACAACCTAAGTCCACATCTCAAGAGAACCGTTTTAAAATTTTAGGAATCAGCTGGGATGAGAACAGCGATGAGCTTGGTAATGATCTTGAAGAGCTAGTGCATTATGTAAAATCACTTCCTGCAACTAAGAGGTCAGTTTTAAAGCTACCTGCAAAATATTCCATCCTATTGGCCTTCTTGCACCCTTTACTATCACTATGAAGATGTTGTTTCAAACCCTCTGCTCTTCTGGCAGTAATTGGGATGAAGATCTGTCTGGCAAGGCCTTATCACGTTGGAATTCTCTCGTTCACGACTTAAGGGCCTTAAGTGATATACGAGTACCGCGTTGTTACTTCCATGGTGGATACGATTCATCTCCGATTCATCAGATACATGGATTTTGCGATGTATCAGAATTTGCCTTGCCGCAGTTGTATATCTACGAACGGAACATAAAAACGGTGAAATTGAAGTGAATTTAATAGCAGCCAAGACAAGAGTCGCTCCTATCAAACGACAGACCATACCACGACTTGAATTGTTAGGCGCAACTACCTTAGCAAGATTAGTCGATTCGATTGTGAAAGCGTTGACTTCAATAAAATGTATCACTGATATTATCGAAATCATAAACTGTGGAAGTCGTATGTACAGAACCGCGTAAACGAAATCAGAAATTTAACTAGTAGTTATAAATGGAGACATTGCCCTGGGGTAATAAACTCTGCCGACTTGCCTTCTCGTGGGTGTTCCGGAAGTGAACTTGTGCAATCTAGAATCTGGTGGAATGGTCCGCAGTTTCTCCAAGATACTGAAGAAAAATGGCCCGGAGATCATTAACCTACAAAATTGGATGAGGACCATTTCTACACAGTTATAATACAAAATCCTCTTCCAATAACACATTCCTTGACGTCAACATCGCTTCCTGACCGTAATTGCATCCACTTGGAGAAGATTATTGACCAAGACAGATATGGTACGAAGAGCAAACTACTTCATATTACAGCACAAGTTTTAAGGTTTATCAAGAAATCAAGAAAGGAACTATGCTCTGTTACGTCTGAGTTGAATGCTAATGAGCTACTCGAAGCTGAGAGATTATGGATCCGAAGTATTCAGTCTGCCGCGTTTTCTGACGAGTTACAATGTATTCGAACCGTTCGTAAAAATGTACGAGCTCAACAACTTGGTTTGTTTCTCGATGATGATCAGATTATTCAGTTTGAAGGTCGAATTGCCCACTCTACGTTACCTGATAGTGCAAACAGCCGATTTTGTTGCTCCCTAAGCATACCTTTTCGAAATTAATTATACGCGACTGTCACAATATAGTACACCACGAAGGAATTAGAGATAATCTGAATTGCGTTCGAGGAAAATACTGGATCTTGCGTGGTCGAGAGTGCGTCAAGAGTGTTGTGCGTGGATGTATCAAATGCAAGAAATTCGAAGGTAAAGCTTTCCCAACAGCGAAGGTAGCATGTTTGCCATCAAGTAGAGTAGGCGAAAAGCCTCCCTTTTCAAACACCAGTATTGACTTTGCAGGCCCCTTATACGCTACTAACAATCAAGGAATGGATAAGGTATATCTCTGTTTGTTCGCTTGTGCCTCCACTCGAGCGGTTTATCTTGAACTTGTTTGTTATTTGTCTGTACTATCGTTTCTGCAAGCTTTCCGAAGGTTTGTGTCACGAAGAGGGTTGCCTTCTAGACTAATATCAGACAATGCCAAGACCTTCAAAAGTGCCTCAAGGGAAGTTGCTAATATACTGAGATCAACTGACATACAACGCGAACTGGCTTCCAAGGGTGTCAATTGGGAATTTATCATTGAAAAGGCATCTTGGCAAGGAGGATTCTACGAACGAATGATATAAAGTACAAAGAGATGTTTAAAGAAAACTCTCGGTCGATCCTAAATGGATTTTGAAGCGCTTAGAACCATTTTGGTAGAAATTGAGGCTACCATTAACAATCGTCCACTTACATATATTTATGATGACCAAGAAGGCATTTCTTAGACCCTCTGACTCCATCTCAATTAATTTACGGACGGCAACTTACTCTTACGGCTAGTGATCGACAATTTGAAATCATCAGTACGAATCGAATTCTAAACAGAAAGGCGAAATATCAGAAACGTTTGTTAGACCAATTTATTAATCGTTGGAGAACGGAATATCTTTTAAGTGTCAGAGAGACTTCCCGCTTACTTCATGGGGCACAGAAGGAGAAGATAGCTGTCGGTGATGTTGTTGTGTTAAAAAATGATCTTTCTCCTCGAATTTTGTGAAAATTGGTGAGAGTTACCAAGCTAATAGTAAATAAGGATGGTGTTGTTCAAGCAACAAAGGTCTGTGTTGCGAGTACTACAAAGGCTCGATCGTCAGAACAACGTCGTCCAATACAACAACTGATACCACTTGAGTTAAATATGCCTCTAGCAAATACCGTGGTTCCCAAAACCACTAGTGGAATTGAGTCTAAAGACGAAAACTCTATGAAAACCCGACAACGAAGAACTGCAGCCGTGATTTGAGACCCATTGCGACATTGAACTAGTAAAAACTCGTGGAAATAAATTGATCAATATGATCCACGTCGGGAGTGTGATGAACAGTTCTTTTTATTTTGTTTTGTTGACGCGGAGCACGTGCATTTCACGTGATTGACATCTTGAGATTATCACAGAAGGGGGGAGTTGTTGTTGACAATAAAGATTTCGAGATGTCGTTGTTGAATTATAAAGTAGTTTTATTTGACGACTTTGTTCTAGAATAAAAATAACGATTTTATCATGCATCGTGCATGACAAGCGTAAAGATACAATACATTAAAGGACAAAACACACTCAAAAACGTCATCGTATGAACAGAATATTCGAGTTATAAAAAGAGACAAAAAGAGGCAAGATTCAAAGCAATATTTCAACTTTAGTTCAAAATCGTTATCAAACTAAATGATTATTTACAAGCATGAAAAATCTTAAATAGTTGTTACAAGGAAATCAAGTAAGCAATGAAAAGAACAAAGGCGATGAAAGCAGGTACTACTGTCTAGAATTTCATCAATGAAATTAAAAAGATAGCAAGTTCTACAGAACCTTTAGTCCAGAATTTAGCTGAGGCTTTTTCAAACGTATATAAATCGCATCAAGGAAAGACAAGGCGATGAGCAAGGCCCTTGAGGCAATTTATATACGTTTCAAAAAGTCTCAGTTAAATGCTGGACTAAAAGCTTCTGAAGAACTTGCTATTTTTTCTTAATTTCATTGATGTAATTGTAGACAGTAACAACTCCTTTCATCGCCTTTCTTTCTTTTCATTGCTTACGTCATTTCCTTGTAACAACTATTTAAGATCACGCATGCTTGTAAATAATGACTTAGCTTGATAATGACTTTGAATTAAAGTCAAATATTGCTTTGAATCTTGTCTCTTGGTTTTATAACTCGAATCTTGAGTTTACTAGATGATGTTTTTTGGAGTGTGTTTTTCCTTTATTTTTTGAAATTGTTGGCTGGAAAAGGATTTATACCATACATTTGTATAAAGGAAGTCGGAAATTTGCATCTCGGAAGTGTCAAAAATTTTGAACACAGGAAGTTGGAAATCGGAAATTTTATATCTTGGCATCAAGTCCCGTAGAAATTGGTTTGACGATATGACGTCAAATAATTTCCTTCAGCCCACACGCTGCTAAGCCTCAAAACAGCTCAAATGAAGCACTTGAAGATGCGGTTTTGTTCAAAATGAAGCACCTGATTTCATAATCTCAAAATATATTTTGTAACCCTTGCATACAAATAAAACTTTCAATACCAACATTCTGTGAGGATGTAGTTCTCCTTTACAGTTTCAAATCCCTACTACACACATTGAAAAAAGAATGTTTGATTCTCTAATTAGTATTTCTCAATCACTATTTATTATTCTAAATATATGTCTTTGATGTGATTGTACGTCATTCAAAATCTGTCATTAAATTGTAAGCTGTTTTCTTAGCTACCGGTGATGATATGGCGTTCTTCTTCAAGTCAGAAAAGGAAGTAAACATTTTTATGTTGGGGAAATTGATTGTTTATCATGGTGGTGAAGCTTTGAGAATAACCTTGAGAAAACAAATGTCAGGTACTGAATTATTCTTTTTCTTGAATACCACTAAAAATAGAAATAAGCTTTTGAGAACAAAGAAGAAAATAATCAGGCACGATGCATGGATTCTTTTGTATCCAGATCCTCCAAGACTACCTGATGAAAATGATTTTGACATTACTCTACTTTGTGTCCTTTTGCGCACTATTTGCAATTTAAAACAACCGAATAATCCTATCTGGACAAACAAACCTAATGCCACCGATCATTCAACCGAAGCCGATATTACCCGTATCAGGTTATATCGTAATGAGTGTTATGCTCACATACCTAACACATCATTTAGCTTAGGTGACTTTGAGACTTTGTGGAAGGAAGTTTGCCAACCAATAGTTCGTTTAGGAATAAGTCAGGAAAAAATAGATCAATTAAACCAGGAAAGAACTCAGTCGATCGAACGTATAATTCGTAGGCCTGGCAGTATAATACTAAGCGCCGGTTTTGTATTTGGAACCGATATTTTGACCAAAAACCTTGTAAGTTGTACTTTTGAGAGTGACATTAGTAATCAATATAAAACATTTTTACATGGAACACGGGAATGGGTTTTTGATGAGTTTTTGGCTTGGTTTGAAGACAATACTTCTCAAAATCGTGCATTTGTTATTTCTGCTGTTGCTGGAATGGGTAAGTCTGCAATTGCAGCAACTTTATGTAAACGTTATCCAAGCTATTTCGCCGCAGTTCATTTCTTTCAACACAATGACAGTCGTTTCAATGATGCCAATGTACTTCTTCAATCTTTAGCTAGGCAAATTGCTCGTAACTTTCCTGCTTACAAAAATCTTTTAGAGGTGAAACTTAATAATGTCTCAGAGCCTCTGCGTGACATGAATGTTGAAAGACTATTTTCCTTTCTTTTTACTGAGTTGTTTGAAAAAATCAAGAAATTTCCTAAGCGGACTTTAATTATGCTGGATGCGCTAGATGAATGTGATTATCCAGAAAGCCTTCTCCTGGCTGATTTGTTAGATAATCATTTGTTCAAACTTCCGCCTTGTTTCTACTTTGTAATCACAACAAGACCTAACAAAGATTGTCATATCATATTTGAAAAACTAAATCCGCTCTTCATCAATTTCAGTGATGATGATAACTTGAATGATGTAAAATTACTAATTGATGAAAGAATTGGTCCCTCTAACAGAGTTTTGCATCTTAAGGAAAATTTGCTAGAAAAGTCTGACGGACTTATGTTGCTTGCATCGCTTCTCTCCAGTAAAATTAAAAATCAGGATTCGTTCAATGGATACATACCAAAGGATCTCAATGAATATTACGAAATTTCCTTAAAAAGAATAAGTGACGAATTAAATTCATTTCAAATCAGTAAAGAAAAATTTCAGTCACTTTTAAATGCATTAGCAGTTGCTAAAGAACCCCTTCCTTGGGAAGTAGTTGAGGACATACTTGATTTCAATTGCCTTTCATCTGTGGTTAGAGAAATTATGTTGTGCCTTTTTACTACCAATGAAGAAGGACATGTGTCGTTTTTCCACAAATCTTTATCTGATTGGCTGGCTGGCGAGTGTAAACATAATTACTCTGTTAATACTACTGATGGTAATCGAGTTGTTTTAGCGTTTTGTTCAAGATCTTTAGACAATCTCAAAGCTGTCGACGTGGACTACAATAACTTTGTTAAGCGGGCATCAGTAATGTATTCAGTCAAATATTGGTTTCTTCATATGCTTGCTATTTGTGATAATGATCATATCGTTGAATATGTTGGTAAATATCTTGTTGACTTAGATGTTTTACTTGCCTCTGTATCGATTGATAGACATCGTACTTTGGAAAACTTTCGTCTTATAAGCTCTCATAACATATACTTTCATCTTTCTGAGGGCACTCGACTGTTATTTAATGACATTTATTGTGTTATTACGAGGAGTTTCTTGAATTCCATAATTTTTTTGCAGTATGTTGTCAACGAAATCAAAGATCTTGCGCCAAAAGCTTCCACAATGCTTAAAACACGTTTCAGAGAGTCTTCTTATGTTGAGCGCCTTGATACGCGTTTTGTATTAACTCCATTTTTACGTTTAGCGCGAAACTTGATTTCAGTAAATGTATCGCGACATTATGACTATGTCGTTTGTGGTTATGAAGGGTTTATAGTGCAACTTTTTTCTCTGACAACAAACAGGTGTTTATGGATAAAAGATATATCCGATCAGTTAAGTCTAAGTGAATTGAAAGCATTTTGCGTTGTCTTTCATCCTTTCACCGATCTGATCTTCGTTTCCCAATTGGATAAAGTTCTAAATGTTGACAGGAAAGTTGTCTCTAGTCCTTTTCATTGTGATGATTCAACTTCTAAGTTCTTTACTAACAGTTGTTTTTCCAAGGATAGGTACACAATGGTCACTAGTTACAAAGATATTTTGACTGTATGGGACGTTGAGAAAGGTGAGAAGATGCACAGTGTTATATGCAGCAATGTGACATCCCTGTGTTTTTCCAATTCAAAAAAATATTTGGGTGTCATTGATGAAAAAAACGTATTTCAAACATTTGACGTAACGAAGGATTATAAGTTATTCGATTGTTCACCTTTTGAAAATGATGCAAAGCGCTATCACTATTATGATAGAAAGTTTCGTATTCTTTCCACTGTTGGTCTTCATTCTTGGTCTTGTGCTTTGTCTCATAGTAAGAAAGTTTTCATTGTCAATCCTAGTCAAGAGGCACTTCCTGGGTTAGATCTTGAGCGTACACTTGGTTTGTGTTCGCTTGATCCATTTGATGATAACATGTTAGGCGTTTCTTTGATTAATTTCACAGGATATCATTATTATTTATTGAATGATAACAATATACTTTTATTTGATTATGGACATGCTTCTCATCTTGTTTTAATGGCGCGCACAATTTTGACAAAATCTTTGGTTCTTGATAACCAGATAGTTTGCTCAAATGGCAACTTTCTATATCGGAGAGATAAAGAAACGTCATTCGTCATAGTGAACAATCTCACTACAGGAGACTTTGTTAACAAGGAACGTATTGTTAATGGCATGGTTGCCGTAGAAAATGGAGTCATTTTGCTTGCGGCAAAAGCCATTCCTGAGCTTTGGAATAATGATTTGACAAAACTTATTTATAGTTTCGATGAACTAAAAGGTACAAACAAAATTTTTGAGGTAAGTGATGTATCATTTGCTTGTCAAAAAACTGATTCTATTGTGTTTTTCAATGTTGAAAACAAGCGAAAAGAAATATCAATGAATTTTGAAAATTATCGAAATGTGCACGTATTGGCATGTAGCTCTAAGTATCACGTGTTTGCGAAAACGAAAGAAAGAAACAAAGAAACTTACTATTTGTGGCACAAAGATAAACTAGTTGATGGTTGGAGTGGTATAAAGTTTAAGTCCTTAACTGGAGGCCGGCTTCAGCTAATGCGTAGAAATTATAAGTTAAATCACGCAGATTTTTCACCATCAGCTGATAAATTATTAACAAGTAACAAGTTTATGTTCATGAAAGTCTTTCACATTAAAACCATGCAAGTTATTTATACTTTAGATGAGTTCAATTTGTCAGGTAAGTTTGTCTTTATTGATGATAGATTTATAATTTGTAGTAGCTTAACGCTCATTGATTTGAAGTGTTTTAAGAAATTAAAATTAGATTACCCTTTTGTCAATAAGCTTTGGAGAAGACATTTAGAAACTTTATATTTTTGTCGTAAAAGCCAACTTGCCTTTACCTTATTTACTGACCTACAAGTCCCAGTAAATTGCGCAAAAATCATCTTGCCCCGAGAATAAATTTCATCGTCATCTCAACTACATTAGCTGAAAGTACATCTCATTTATTTGGTGATCATATTTCGGGTATTATGATTTCATTGTGCAACAACTTAAATTTACACCATTTTTTGTTCGTTATTGGTAAGTAGTAAGTCATTAACAAAATTTAAAATAATCGAAAATGCAATTCATAATTGCAATGACACATGTGTAAGTGTAAAATATTCAGTATCAACAATAAGGGCGATTACCAATAAAAAACTATAATTCCTAAATAAAAAATGAAACTTAAATAACAATATAGAACAGGGCCACACACAAACGAATTTTGTGTTTAAACACAATAAAAATTAAACATGAGGAGAAATTTACTTCAACGACAACACAGATTTATTATAAAAAGTTCTACTACAACGCCATCAAATTATTGGTAGCTAGTTGTCAATCAAAATATATCTGAGCATTGCTGTTTTACGTACTTCTATGTCCGCACTGCTTTTTTAGGCTTTCTTCCTATATGTTAAAGCATTGTTGTAGCTATATTACATTTTACATCAAATATTTTGGAATGGTAGAAGAACTCACATGATAATTTGCATTTTATATGTATGCTTGCTAAGATATAGTAAAAAACAACATTTATTTCTGAGGAAAATCATTATCTAACAAACGTCATTTTTGTTCTTCTTTGTTAAATCATTAATGATGAATTTGCATCTTTCATTGACTAATTTTTGTTTTTATGCATGATCTAGTTGTTAACATTATCATCAAAATAAGGTATTTATGACCTCTGCGGTGCCGATGCAGTGATCTGACCAGTGCAGTGAATTGACAAAACAAGGTATCTGTTAGAACAACCAAATTGTAAAAACAGTATTTTTATGAAATTCTTTCTCTGGATAGACGTATGTTTGCAAACCTAAGTAGGTTTCGTTGATTTTCCATTCGCTGAATGTGGGCAATTTCAGAATGTTTTGCTCTCAAGACAATAATATAAAAATGAAAACAATTTTTGTCTAAACTTATATACAGGAAAACACTTCTTAAAAAAAAACTTTTATATACTAGAAAATTAAAAAGAAAAATTTGAAGTTGTACGCATAATTACCTTGCAAATGTTTTAGTGCAAGATGGTTCAATTTTGCATATTGTACGTTTTTAGTTATTTGCGTTAAAAGCAAATTGTTAACCAACACTATCTTGCACTAAAATAATTTTAATACTTTAATAAATGAAAAGTTATGGTAATATTCGCTTTTGATAGTAAAATACCTAAATATCAATGAAGATATTATAGCTAACAAACAGAGACGAAGCTGGCCCAAACTTTTGTTGTACAAATATTTTTTTGTGATCATTTATGAACGTCGTTAAGTCATTAACAAAATGAATTGTAGCTTTACCAAGTTTTTTTGGAAGAACTACCAATTTGGAATAGCTTCGCCGCTGAGTGTGAAATAAGAAAATTGCATTCTTAAGAAGAAAATAACTTAATAATCTGCCTTGACCATCATGATAAACAATGGAACAATTTTGGCTGAACGATCCGAATTTTTTTTAATTTACCTTTTACAAGAAAATAATTTTATTGACTTTTATCTTGTCACACAAACATACAAAATGCAAACTATTGTTATTTATTGTGCCATAGGTTATATTTTGTTTATATCTACACCATGTAAACATATAATTTTCATGCAAATGTATTCAGTGTAGGATGGTTTTAATATTGCACGTTTTTCGATATTCTTTTACACCAAAAACAAGTTGTTACTAATTAAATCAATACTATCTTGCACTGAAATAATTTCTTAATACTTTTAATTATTGCATTTTGATTTACAAAATATCTATTTGTTAAGTTGTTAAGAGAGACAAAGTCAGCCCAATTGCTTCTTCGGTTATATAAATATTTTGATCTTTATCAAATTGAAAAACGTAAATTTGTAATAGAAAAATGGTACCTTTGCTAATTTTTTCAAGAAAAACTAAAAATTTGGCTGTCTTTGTCACTGATTGTGAAAAAGTAAATCGTAACTCCACAAGAAAATGACTTCATGATTGACGTTCATCATCTTTATAAACAATTTAACCATTGTGAATGAACATTCCAAACCATGTGTTACTGTATGAACAGGAAAAGTTAACAAAAGTCAAGGAAAGTTTTGCAATATAGAGAGAAAGAAAACAAAGGACAATGTCATACATGGAAAGATGTTTAATGACAAGTTTTTAACTTTTACTGAAAAATTGATATCAAGCATTTTTAAAGTTTGAACACTTTTACTTTGTGAATCGATATTTTGTGGAAATAATTTTTTAACAACATCAACTCAAACATCAGTGGACATACTACAAGTTACTTTGCCAAAGCTTGATATGTTTATGGCTTGGCTGTAAAATTCCATCGTCAACTCTTAATTCAAACGTTAATACAAGAAACAGAAGCTTTATTTCAGGAAGTTACGTAATGAAAGAAATGACAAATTTATGTACCATGGTTCTCTGTGGATTTATTGTTGTACTTTGTAACGTCACCCAGGGTCACGTGTTTGTTGAAATGTCATCTGTTGTCAAAATTGGAAGATGTGAACTTTTACATTTTTAAAATGGTGAAGCTTGTTGTTCACTTTGTTCACATTTTATAAAACTGAAGCGTGAAAATTATCATCTCAAATGGATGTTTTGATGTGAACATAACGCATAAGTAATCATGAGAGTGAATGAAAAGAATTTGATTTTATTGCATTGTGGCTATTAGAATATGCTAAAGTGATTTTTGGAGTTGCATCATTAATTGAAGCAGTTCTTCATCTAATCCCACTGCCATCGTAAAAATCATAACAGTTAATCGCCTTTTCTCATGCTCTGAAATATTTATGCACTTGAATGATACTATAACCTGTGTGCTATGAATCACACAGGTTATAGATCATAACAGCAACATGTCATGAAAATTCAAAGCAAACGTCAACTATGGATGGTTGTAGAATAAAAGTGATCAGTTTAGTTCATATAAATGGCCAACAAATCATTCACAACAAAAATGACTTCAACATGTAAGAACTACATCAAGTTACGAGAATGAAGAGTTTGTAAAATTTCATCGTCTTTGTTTTGCAAGATGTCACATTTATAAATCCAGTGTGTTTTATATTTTGAACGATTTTAAGTCATATTTTATTTCATATTGTTGTGTACATTGTTACGTATAGTATAGTTACGTTTTGCCTTTTAAATTTCAAATGCTATGAATAAATGAATCCCACATAACTCAACTCCAATTTTTGTATTAATAGTAATTTGCCAACTGCCATTTGAAGAATGAGATTCCTCGTGCTTTAAAAAAGAGTTATCGTATCTTGAAGTGAAAAATAATATTTTTTAAAATTAGCATTGAATAGTTGTATATAATAACTTTCACTCACAATTCAGAGACATCATTTTTGGGTAACTGTCATTTTGTAAATCAAGTTGAAAAATACCCGTATTGTATCAAAATAGAACAATTGGAGTTAGTATTTTAAAGACTTGTTAAGATTCATTCATTTAGCATTTATAATAAATAATGTAAGGATGAACTTTCTTTTTGCACTGTGCTTTTTTAAGACGTGTTAACATAGTTGTATCATATTAGTATTTTAATGTAGAAGATAATCGTTGTATCAATATGTTTTCTGCAAAATTGTTACAATATATGTGTGTTGATTATATCGTGTATTAAATAGCTTTCATATTTGTCCTACACTGAATCTATATTGAAACCTTCAGGGGACAAATCTTGCTATTTCCTCGTGGAGCATACAGAATGTGTCTTGTTATTTAGGGGAAAAGAGTAAAGATTTTGACAGCTTTTCAACAAAATCAAAATTTCCTTGGGAGATTCGGCAGGCTAAATTCCGTTGCAAAGTACTATAGGTGACCACAGCATTTTAGGTCGACTTCCGAGTGTTTTCTTAGTTCTTTTTCATTAATAGTTGATTTTCGTCGCTTAATAAGCTCGAGAAACGGTTTTTAGTTTTCGGTTTGGTGGCTCTTTTATTCGTTATGATATTAAAATAAGCGGGCAACACCTTTTCACTTGTTTTCCTGGCAGTAAACCGTCCATATATTTCAAGTCATGTGACTACTAATGAACCAATCACAATTACTAAACACAGCACCTATATAACAATACAACTAATTGTATAAATAGACATAATTCGAAAGTTCATTTGCTGATTTGAATAGTTTGCAGTATTCCAAATCTAAATCAAACGACTTTCATGCACATCATTAGTCTCCTAGAATTTAGTGGGACATTATGATGAGAAATTAAATTTTCAGAATATGTTGAATTTTATAATACTGTTTTTTGATACATCCTGTATTTGTTCCTTTTTGGGAACATTCCGTATAATATATATATGTACGTAAAGAATGGTTCACAAGGTGAGATCATCAGCTACAATTACATCTTTTACACGTAGAATCTTATCAATTTTTTTACATTAAAGTTGTAGGAAACATATACTTTAATACTAATGACTTAATAGTTTAATATGTAATTATAATTAATAAGAATCGGATATGTTGACAAGAGCTATA